CCAGCCGTCTACTCCTCTTCTCTGGGCTTTTCCCCCCTTCTCTCTCTCTCTCTCTCTCTCTCTCTCATCTCCGTTTTCTCCAGGGAAGGAAGTGGCCATGGATCACAACCCGCAGCACCCCTGCTCTCGTTGCCGGAAACCTCTCTGTCGGCCTCGAGCTCCTCTGCCTCGATCCGTCCGTACGACCCGCCGCCACCTCCTGCATCGCCTGTCGTCTGGAGGAGGACGACCGAGAGTAGTGCCCGTTCGTCCGCCGCGTGGACTGGCTCAGCCCAGCTCGCCTGCTAAAGCCGTCGAGCATCTGCCTTGTCGAGGCAACACTCCTCTACCTCGCCCCGCACCGCCGCGGTCTCCTCCGCCTCCACCCGCGCCACCCATCTTCCTCCCTGTCCCCACCCCTCTCCCTCCCCACCCCTGCTCCCGCCCCTCTTCTCCCCGTTCAGCTTCCGCATCACGGAGCGCAGCCACCGGACCGCCGCGAACAGCGAGGAGCAGCATGGGCGTGGGGGCGAGTCGGGGACGCAAGCGTGGTCGTTATCCACTTAAAAAGGACTGCGGGTTGAATACCCCAAACCACATGGTCTTTTTTGTAAAATGTGCGACGACGTACGACCAGAAGCACTCTGTGCTTTATTAGTAGGGAAAGAGGGAAAGATATATATATATATATATATACATATATATATATATATATATATATATATACAAATGTTCGTGCGTTGCAACGGGAGAAAATGTTGGCTTCAATGAATCTGCCAGATCAAGGAACCATGTCGTTGGACAACGCTCGCTGATGATAAGAAATTGGTTCATTTCATCAACATATGGGGTATGATTTCAAGTAAATTGATTTGTCTGAACAACCACCTCTTGATTGTTAGTTCATTCTTTAGATTATTTGTTCATTCTTGAATTTCAATAAATATGAAGTAATAGCACCAAGTAAACTAACCTAGAATAATAATTGCAGCAGCAAGCAAACTAACCTAAAATATGTTGCAGCAAGCATAATCTGTTCATTTAAAAAAATTGTTTAGCTAGCATCACAGTGTATTTTTATCAATAATCTAGTGATATGTAGTATATATCCATAAGCACATGATTATTTTTTGCAAAAATTTTGTAAACTTACTTAAAGGTTCGTTTTCAAGTTCTGCATAATTTGGCTCCATGCCGAGAGTCAAAAATCGTTTACATGAAAGATGAACCATGTATAAGTTGCATCCACACTATTTATAGAAACATGTGCCAACAACCTTGCAATGGAGACAAAATAAATAAATACAATTCTGGTTCTTTATAGTCTAGCACAACCACAAATAGTGTAGTGTCAAAAACACTCTTATATTATGGAATGGGGGGAGTAATATTCTTAGACTTCAGTAAAAGTGAATATTCCAGGATAGCAGCTCAATTGGTCTCGGTCTTACAGGCTTAGTGGGAGGACGTGAGTTCGATCCCCATCCCCACGCAGGTTGTCGCTGCGAATTCAGGGCAAAAATAATAGGGCCTGCCTCAAACGACGAAAAGCAGTTTTTTTTCTTACACTTTAGTATCACCTCGTGTATATGTTTTAAATTCAAACTGAAAGCGTAAATTTATAGAAAGGAAGCGTATTGTGACGGTGAATCCGACAAAGTCAATCCATGCTTTATTATTAGGGATAGATTAGGGAAAGAATTATTATTAGGGAGAGATAGATGTATAGATGTACATATATAAATTTGATGGATAATGAGTGGTGGATTGTGAAGTTCCTTTTTGAAGTTAGATTAAAAAGGTCCTGTCGCACATAGTTTGTTATAACAGGTTACGATGAAAACATGTTTGCAGGTTGAATCATTTCTCTTATCTAACTTTTCAGGTGATACATCATCAACCGAATGGGATAAGGCTTGGTCTAGTTTTAAGAAGAAAGGGAAGAAGACCCTATTCTCAGAGTTCTCACCGAACAAATATGTGACCTGTAACCCACGGCGCATTGAGTATCCATTGTCAGAAGAAGTCGATCCAATCAAAAGAGCCGAGAGGTCTAACTTGATGTTGTGAACAAGCCCAATATGTACCTTAGTAGGGGTGATTATCTTCGTTTCGGCATTTCTTATCTATACATTGGTTGTCCCACCCAAGTAACTGCTAAAGTGACAGATAACAGGTGAGCTGTAGGCCAAAGATTCTACTTGGAAGTCTGTATTGTACATTTAGTTTGTACTATACCAAGTATAATCATGGTTCTGTATTGCTTCAAGCACATTGTAATAGATCATAATACAGAACTCCTTCCATTTTGGTGATTTTCTTCACCTGCACATAAATTGGACCCTCTTTAGTCCTCCATTATAACCAAGAATATTGGGTCACCTAGAATAATAATATGTTGATCACTATCCATGACTGTGCTCCTGATGTGATTTTTTTTCATAGTTCTCACTTCCTAGTTCGTCTCACATTTCCACAACCTTAAGACATGGCCCGACTCATATTTCAACGACCTACGGAGATATACGGTCGATCTGGTTCAGGCAGCATGGTTCAGACCCCATGGTTCACCACAGGCAAAACATGGTTGACCGGGTTAAGAATGCATGGTTCAGACCTGTGGTTCACTATGAGTAGACTGCATGGTTCAGAGTCCTGATTTTTTCATAAACCAGGATTGACCCGGTGTCGAGGAACTATGCTATGGGACATGGATTGAAAATTACAAAACAATCAATCAATTGAAAGAAATTCAGATTATTTATAGGGCAGTTAGTGAAACATAAACCCACACATGCATAGATACTCTGATAGATAAGCAGCTACAGCAAAAAAGGAAACTACAACAATCTAGCGGAAATAAAAATTCTACATCTCATAGGAGAAATCAAGCTAGTGAACATAGCTTCTAGTGAAGAAGTGTCGACTTCAGTTTTTAGGCACTTGTATATCCAACTACAACTACAAAAATATCTAATCATTTGAAAATTTCAACTATAAGTCTATAACCCATAAATATACAACCAGTATAACTGGAAGTTCCAGCTTGCCGAGAAAACTGTGAAGGATGAACTATTTTCCACATAATCATCTACAGGATATTCTTTGAGCATCAATAAATAATTTTCAAACATATACTGTAATTTAAACAAAATCAGAACCTTCTTTACCATTCACTCCTAAATGTAATCATCTTTTAATGCAGGTCTCGGTCTTGTAGTAGCCGACATTGTCCGCAAGCTACTGTAGTGGAAAGTAGTTTCACAATGGAGAAGTTACTACCAGAAATAAGTCTGTCCAAACACTATGTCAGGTACCTTGCAGATAAAAAAAAGTGGGAGATGCATCATATGAGTTCATAAGAGTACTTACAAATATTGATATTGACATTATCCAGAAACATGCAGCCAAAGCTAATGAAAAGGTTCATATATATATTTTTTAATTTGTATTTAGTGAAAACTGACTTGGCACTTGACATACAGTATGTGATGCTAGCTCCAGGTAAATATGCATTGCAGTAAATGCAAAGGGGGGGAATAGTGGATCTGCATTCAATTCTTGCAGACCTTACTATATAAATTACCCAAAGAAAGACCAGACTTAACTGAAAATGAAATTTTAGAGAACGTTCACTTAAACATTCAAAGAAAAATTGTTAATATCATGGAAAAATATAGAGATTTGAACACATCTCGCAGAATACATCTCACTAACTATCTAAGATATATATATATAATTCCAACTGACATTGTGGATGGGATGCTAGTAGAAAAAAACACATGGTAGAACAATTATCATTAAAACCAAGAGGTTAGCAATTAATTGGTGCAATCCTGTAACTTTGGGCCAAGAATGTTCATATTTCAGTCGATCTACTCAAGGGGTTTTATGGTATCTCGGTCTATGTCGTTAATTGACCATTTCGACCATTGATACAATTCACAATGGTAAACAATTCTCAGGAGCAAAAGGGTAAATGATTTCAGGGCTCTTTCAAAAAGAAATTGCATCAGTAAAACTTAGGAAGGCATAATTGCATATCGAGGCCCAAGCTTCCATGCATGTTTCCCATCACATGTATGCAGCCATGTATGCCAAGCAAGGCTGGCCTCAGACGGGTGCCACAACTTGGGGTGTCTTTGGCTCGCTTGTGAAGGATAGTAAGGGGAAGAGGCAAGGTTGTGCTGCTACACCTCGTCATTTGTCCGCTCGGTCTGCAATGCTCTCCAACGACAGGTTGGAGATGAAGTGGTTGCACGCGAAGTGAGCGGCATGGTGGCCCGCATTTCCATCGAGGAAAAAGCACAGGGGCGGGGCAGAGTGGAGGCGACACTGATTATACATCAAACTTTCTCACTCCCAATACTGCATGAAGCACCCTGCCTGGTCATGTTCTTCTGACTGAAATTTGATGTGGCCCTGAATATATGTGCAACGGTGACACTGCACTTACTTTGCCAGCCCCTGCAATCAAATTTGTCAACCAGTAGAGCATAGTCCATAAATATTCTGATTTTTCTCAAGGGGACTATAGGGGCCAAATAATTTCAAAATCAGGGAGAAAATCATAGATGAATATGTTGAGCGAAGCCTGCTGCCCCTGCTGTCTTGAAGCTCCTACACCACAGAACAAATATCAGTGCACTGCTTTGCTAATCTAGACCAAAACAAATCAAGGAAACTATCAATTTTTCCGATAAAGATCAAGAGAACTCTCCTAATCGTGACATACTCATCCTAATCCGCCTCTGCCTGTAACAACCCACTTCCTCTGGCTGTGAACACTGACGTACATCCAGATGCACGCACCAACGCCACATTAGTCTAGCAACCCGATTGAGTTCCACCATCATACCATTTTTTGAATCATATGGAAGGAGAGTTATTCTCATGATGTATTCATGTGGGAGTTAACCTCAAGGATCTGTGACTGAAACGGGCTCGGACAAACACCCAAACACCTTGTGTGCAAAAAATAACTAAGAACATCCACAACCTATGACCAGCTAATTCTATCCCTATTGACAAGAAGCACTACATATGCAGTAATTTGACATCATGAAACTGTGCAAACTCGTGATCCTCAGCAGAAAATAAAAGTCATCCAGAGAGACTGGCACGCGGTTTCCTCTGGTAGCATGGGGTGGGCACAGAAATACACGTGTGTCCGAAGTTGAGGTGGAGGAGCAGAGGGGGCGGCGAGTGCAACGATGACCGGATGGCCGTGTGGCTCTGGTCGAGCGGCGAGCGCGCGCCCTCCCAGGCAGCACACATCGAGGAAGGATGAGCTGAGGCAGAATAATAGTGCAGGGTGTTGCGATCTCCGTCGTCGGTCGGCTGGGCCGACGACCGGCGACTGGTGCGTCACCGGATCGAGCGTCCCGCGGGTCGGGCGAGTCCTGGCGGCGCAGATCGGCCCGCGAGCGCCGCACCCTCCCATCCTCTGCCTCCCGCGAGGTCGCAACGAGGGGAGCAGTGAACGGCGAAGAAAGCCGTGGGTGAGGAGGAGATGGGATTGGGAGAGGAAGGAGGCGGTCGACGTCGCGTGGTGAGGCCGTGCGGGGCGGGGCGGGAGGCGCCGGCGGCGCGCGGGGCATGGCCGGAGGTGTGTGGCGCGGGGCGGAGCGCCGTGAGGCAGAGCATGGCTGCGTTTATTTTTTTCCTTTGTACCGATTTGATTTGGACTGCGGGTTGATTTGTGTGAACTTCAAGGGCTTTTTTGCAAAAGTATTAATGACGGACGACCAGAAGCAATAGGTGCTTTATTAGTAGGTAAAGAGGTAAAGATAAAGATAAAGATAGCTCTCTCTCCTCTCGATTTTTTTACCTTTCATCGGCAATCAACCACCGTTCATTATTTGCTTTAAGATTTGTGCTTTATTTTTTGAAGAAAATTGAAGAATTATTTTGTTGTACTTAGACAGTCAGAAAATTGTCATATGGTCCAAGAGGGCTTGCTGACAATGAAAAACATAGATCGGAAGGGCCATACCTACAAATACACCAACAAAAACGAGAGCTGACCGAATTTAGACAGATCTACTAGAGACAAGCGTGGACCGGTGCCAAACAAATCCACCGAGAAACAACGTCGACCAGATCCAAGACATGTTGAAGGCACACCTCCACACGGCATCTACCGAAGACTCTAGGGCGCCGCCGCCACATCGTCGCCCCAACCAAGACACTAAAACTACATAAAGCAAGGACGGAATCCCACTAGTAGAAAAGGGGGCAATGGTCCAGGCCGGATCAGCCCATTAGTCCCGGTTCAGTCCAGAACCGGGACCCATGGGGGCATTGGACCCGGTTCGTGAGCCCCGGGGGCCAGCCGGGCCACGTGGGCCATTGGTACCGGTTCATCTGGACCTTCCTCGCTCCTGGCCCACCACCATTGGTCCCGGTTGGTGGCTTGAACCGGGACCAAAGGCTGCCCTTTAGTCCCGGTTCATGCCATGAACTGGGACCAATGAGTTGCCTATATATACCCCTCGCCCGCGAACAGAGCACTCCCACTGCTCTGTTTTTCCTGGCCGGCGAGGGGAGAGCTTTGTGGTGCTCTAGCTCACCTCCTATGCACACGAGGTGTTTGATGGAATGCCCGAGCCACACTACTTAAGCTTTCTCCTCTCCAAGCTCCATTTTCCTTAATATTTGTTTAGGTTTAACGGTCCGTCACGTCCCGTCCCCGTCTTCACCGCCGTTGATCGCCCGCGCCGATCTCGTCGCCGGCACCACCGTGGTGAGCCTCTTGTTCTTATATTCTTTCTGAAAGGAAAAAAAATTCTTACTTGTATGTTTATATAGATACTTGTATAATTTTCTTACTTTTATTATTGCATCTTATATAGTGCGATGGTTTTGGTATCCGCCCCCGTCGGCCCTCATCCTGTCTATGATTCGGATGTGGTATATATTATCTTTTCATAACTATTGATTCATTTATTGTTTATGACAATTATGCTGACCAACGTGACATAGATTTTATTTATCTAGGAGGTTGTTGAACTGGAAATTCCAACCGACCCTATTGTCGGGAGGTTAAATTTAGTTGAAGAAGAAAACAATTTCTTGAAGGAAAAAATAAGAAAAATTGAGGAGGATAAGATGATATTGGAGTTGCATGTTGCGGATGTCGTCGATGATCACAAGATCAAGATGGATGCAATGCACTTGAAGATTAGAAAGATTAGAAAATATGCCATTCATACCGAGGCTTGATATCATTATGCCGTTGGATCAGTTGTTACATTGGTTGCAATTATGATCGCATTTGTTTTCGCATTGAAATGTTTTACATAGTTTCAATGTACGGTTTAATTAATTTAGATGCTCTGCAGAGTTTTATGTTTTTAGATGAGAACTATGTATGTACTTTGGTTTTAATGTGATGATGAACTTCTATTAATTTGGTCACTTAATTATCTATTTATGATGTTCTGTAATGATTTTTGACACACTTAATTATATATAATGCACACAGATGAACCGGCAATGGATGTATGGTGAAAGACACACCTCCGAGTATATTAAGGGCGTGCATGATTTTCTCGAAGTCGCTGAGGCAAATAAGCAGAATGGTTTTATGTGTTGTCCATGCCCTATATGTGGGAATACGAAGTTTTACTCTGACCGAAAAATCCTTCACACCCACCTGCTTTACAAGGGTTTCATGCCACACTATAATGTTTGGACGAGGCACGGAGAAATATGGGTTATGATGGAAGACGGCGAAGAAGAAGAGTACGATGACAACTGTCAGGACCCCGACTCGATGTCACATCGATCTAGCTGGTAACACCTCATATCACTTTGCGGCCTCACGCACGGTATCCCCACGGGTGTCGTCTTACCTTTTCCCGGGACCGTTTGCGCCTTTTGGCTCACGTATATGATAGTGTCGCTAGCATCCATATGATAAAGAGCCCGGGCTGACATGACTAGTCGTAAACCCAAAGTGGCACAGACTTACAGGGACAGGCATCCATGACCCAGCTTCGAACGTGTCGGTCATCAGCAAGTGGGTCCGGGCTGTAGCACTGGGCTAGCAGGACTCCGGTAAACCGGGCTGTAGCGGGCTAACAGGACTCCGGTACTCAAAGCGTGACATTTCCCCGAAGGGACAGACACAGGAACGAAGAAGGACACATGCCGGCCAGCCTAAGTGTTCCAGAGCAGTAGCAAGCTACCATGGCTCAGCGGTAACACTAGGAGCCATTTCCCGGTAAGAGAGGCTACTAAAGATAAACAACTAGATAGTCAGATCCCACACATACCAAGCATTTCAATCATACACACAATATGCTCGATATGTGCAAATACAACGAAGCATCACAACATGACTCTATGACACAAGTACTTTATTTAAGGCTCAGGGAGCCATACATATCATACACACAGGTACGGGTCTCACGACCCAACATACAAGTCATACAGTCATACAAGCCAGCAGCGGAAGTACATTGTCTGGGTACAGACAACTAGTAAAATAAAAGAGGCTTGGAAAGCCTAGCTATACTACGTGGTCCATCACAAGCTCAGGGTCACCACCTGGGTCTTTAGCCTACTCGTTGATGTCAACGTCTACATAGAACCCATCAGAAGGGGTTGCAGCGTCTTCTGTAAAATGTAGATTATAGCAACATGAGTACAAAGGTACTCAGCAAGACTTACATCAGATCCTACATACATGCATAGTATCAAGAAGGGTTGGTGGAGTTATTGCAGCAAGCTAGCTTTGACTCTTGGCTAGACTATCCTACGATACTCCAACTTGAAATGTTTTGCGCACACGAGTCCACTACTCACCACTTCAATACACTACCGAGGATCCACCTCCGTCTTCCTACGGAAGAGCCATCCTCGGCACTCACACTTATCTTGAGGCTTTTAGTAGTTTCCATTTACTTGTCTATGAACTATATAGGCAACCAAGTAGTCCTTTACCGCGGACGCGGCTATTCGAATAGATCATGATAACCCTGCAGGGGTGTACTCCTTCATACACGCTCTCACCACTTATCGTCGTTTACACGACATGTACTCGGCAACCTTCAAGCGGAAGCCCAACGTGGGTGTCGGCCACGACCTACCTAATCACCTAAGCCTCCAGTCCAGGTTTATCGCCTATTCAGGTTCCATCCGCAGGGAGTCCGGCCGAGGTTTCCCATACGGCCCCGAACGATGTGAACAGGGTTCCCGGGATACCTAACGGGTATTCGGTACACCGTGCCACGTACCTACCGCATCACAGCCCACCCCTACGGTCAGCGCTGTCCACGGCCTCCAGTAGGCTACAAATACCAGAAACTACTTGCAACTCCTGGACGGAGAGCTAGGGTGAATAAGAAGTCGAGAGGGTCCATTGGTTTCGGGCCCAATGCATGGTAGTAGCTGATTCTTAAATCACACATACAGATCTCAGTGCTTAAGGTCGGCTTCAATGAAACAACCCACCATGTACTCCTACATGGCCTCTCATCGATACCTTTACCAAATCGTGTTCACCACACCACTCTCATTACCGACATAATCATTTCACTCTAGCCCATCACCCAGATGAACCAGACCTGACACGACTCTAAGCATAGCAGGCATAGCAAGGTAGGAACAACACATACATATGGCTCAATTAACTCCTACACATGCTAGTGGGTTTCATCTAGTTACTGTGGCAATGACAGGTCATGCAGAGGAAATGGGTTCAACTACCGTAGCACACAGCAGTTTGAATCGCGTTGTCTTAATGCAGTAAAAGAGAGCAGGAGCGAGAACATGGGATTGTATCGATATGATCAAATGGTTGGTTGCTTGCCTGATGGTTCGATGCTCGGATATGATTCTTCGTTAGGGTAATCACGGTACTCCTCGGAGACAGAACCTGTCGCAAAGGACATCGGTACACAAGCATCACCAAACAATGTGCAACAATATGATGCATGCATGAAACATGGCAATATGAGTGTGTTGGGCTAATGCAACTAAAACCAGAGGGGTTTGAACAAATTTGAATCAAAGATTCAAATTTCAAACTCAAACATGGCCTTTTAAAGTGCTTTTTCTTCTTCTGCTTAAAACATCAATTTAACTTGTTTGATCATGCATGAAAATAGTACAGATGGATAGATTGGATTTTTCTGATCATTTTTCATATATAATTTGTCCAATTTGGAGTTACAGAATAAAAGTTATGAATTTTTGAAGTTTAATTAATATTCTGGAATTTCCTGATTAAATTTAAGTCCAGAAAATCGATTACTGCGTCAGCCTGACGTCAGCATGACATCAGTGGTCAACTGTGGCTGGCTGAGGTCAAACCTGACGTGTGGGGCCCACACGTCAGTGACAGGGGGGGTTAACTAGGTTTAAATTAATCCTAATTACTAATTAGTGGCGCTGGGGCCCACTGTCAGTGTCAGGGGGGGTTGACTAACAGTAGTTAGCGCTAACCTAACCACCTGGCCGACAGGGCCCACGCGTCAGTGACCCTGGGGGGTCAAACCCCAGGTCGGACAAGTCAAACCCCACCGGCGACATGACGCCGGCGAGGTCCGAGACGGCGGCGAGAGTGCTTTTTGCCATTCCGGCAACCAAATGG